AGTTGGTGATGACAACGAGGTTAATCACCTCACTCTCGCTAGCTGACTTAATCATCCAAGACTTCCTAGGCCCTGGGAATTATGGGGTAAAGAATTACAAGATTATTGGGAGGAGAAGCACAGACGCATGATTGCTTGTGCTAATAATCCACTTGCAGAGTTTCCTCCAACCTGAGAAGAAGAAGAATTAGAAACTTTTATTAAGGAAGATTCCCAATACTGGGATTACCGTCATGAGACCTATCCAGATCAAAACAGAGAGCTAGTTCAGTTCAAAACCCTGCCAACTGGCAAACTGACACTGTTCCAGTGGTTGCCCTGGGGAACCAAAGGGAGGTTTGAGCCACAAACCTCATACCCAATCATGGCAGAGTCCAGTGATGACGCTGGAGATGATAAACTCCAGCTCAGTGAAGCACAAATAGAGGTTGTTGAGGCCGTCAGGGCTGACCATGAGCCAATGAATCCTTCCGCTGAGCCTAAGGCAACAATTGAAATTATCCAGAATGAAATTTCTGGGGAGGAAACAATTGATGAGAAATATATGCATGTCTTAAATCGTGACATGGCCTACCACATGTCAGAAAATCCCCCTCAACATTCAGACAGAATGGAGTACTCCTATCAGACCCGTTGTGAAGACAGCCATGAAAGAGATCGCTCAGAAACTCCAGTTTTTAGGAGAGGAAGAGGAGGTTTTCGTGGAGGGGCTCGCAGGGGAATGCCTTCCCAGCGGCCAAGCACTAATAAGCATCCCAGATCCCCCTCTCCGCCCCCAAAGAGAGTTAAAACTGACACCGACCACTTCGAAGAATTAGAATCCAAAATGAAATGCATGGAGGTGGCAATGAAATCCAAGCCCCCCTTGAGCTTCGATAGGTTGGATCGTACCAGAAGTGGCTTAGCGACTGGGTACAGAACCCCCTTGGCATGGACCAGGAGTAAATCCTCCAAGTCCCATAACAGAGAAGATGGGTCTTTGGAGTGCCACTCTGCCATGGCTTGTGGATGGCCTCATCATACCCCATCCCCCACACCTGAGCCAGAGCCTATGGACGAACTCACTCGGATTTCTGAAAAGCCTCTTGGCAAACGGCCGAGTCTTCGGGAACATGTATGATAATAGGATGCATACCATCCTCAGCACCATAGAAGAGTTGCAAGGTGTCAGGGACGGCTCGGAAGAGGCGGGAATAGCGGCGTGATGCTGTGGCAGGGATAAACCCTTGCACTACAAAACAGTGCTCTTTCATTATTTCATGTACATACATTGTGAGTGCAGTTGGGGTAGTCCTGTGACTGCACAGCCACAACTAGACAGTGGCATCACCTACTACACCATACTCTAGGACCTCTTTTAGTGACAGTCAGGACCATGGCAGGAATTTTAGGGAACGATATACCAATGAAGCAGAGAGCTATAATACATTCGTTTGAACAATTCTTGACTACTAGCAACTTTTTCTTTCGGTTCTAAACCTGAATAATTCACTCATTTATCATTTCAAGTCTCATTTCAACTAAATGTTACTGGATAAAAATAGAATAAATCAGCTGAAGGTCTCAGTAATGCGAAGTTTGAATTCAGAATGACCAAGTCATAGTGAACTTAATGGTAAATATGAGGAATTTGAAATAAAAAACTGCGACAAATGCGGTGCAGTCAAGTTCTAATTAACCATTAAAATAGCTTAGGTGAGGAAGGACAATAAGGATTCTAGGTGCAGTCTGACCACAGTAGAGCTGCAGCAGAGCGCAGTAGAGTGCAGTAGAACTATAGGGTGAAATTTTCATTTTTTATTCAGTTTGAGGAAAATACACTGTAAATAAATCCTGTAAATACGAAGTAGAGCGTGAAAAGGAAGGCGACCCACAGAGTATAAAAGGGAGACCCTTTCTGTGACTTTTTGCCCCCCTCAGAGAAGTAAGAAAATAGAGTATTATTTTTCTCAAGCATTTCTGGTTGTCACTCCAGCACGAAAAAGTGATATACAGTTAAGATTGCCACTGTAATAAAAGGCAGCAATTAGGGAGAGGAATATTAAGTAAATATTTCAACAGGAGAGCTGGTTAACACTCCAGAATTCAAAGTGTAAACACAAAACAGTTATTTTGCTACTGTTAAAAATAAGACAAAAATAAAACAAACTCAAGGGACACTTCAGACACAATCTAAACCCATTAACTGAATAGAATCTTTGAAACTTCACCAAGTAGAAGATTTAATTCAAGTTAAAATCCAAATTAAACAACTCTACACAGAATTACGCCCAGACAAATTGAGAAATTACAATAGAGGAACAGCTCCACAGGGCTTGGTTTATCTGTAAGTCAATTCTCAGAACATTTAGACTAACCCATAAAATAGAATTAGCCAAAACACTCGGATTGGTACTATAATTACAACAAATATTACTAGTACACTTCCCCATCCTAACTAAAGAACCAGGGAACAGCTTGGTGGTGGTCTCGTTTGAACCTCCCAACTGACCTTCCTTCATCCTCTCCTTCAGCAGTGCCAGTGTATGCTGCTGTGCAGTCTCTGTTTGTCATATCCGTGCATACCCGACCCCGACCCGACTTCCGGACCTCCACCCTCTTCACCTCCGGAGTCATAACCTACCGCTGCCTTTCCGATACTCACCTTCGGTCTCGGCAACACACCCCTCCTCTTACCTCTCCGACCCCTTCTCCGTCCGTTCCGATACTCATCTTGGACCGAACATCGCCCTACTCGCCACCCTTCCTACAACTCCGCTCCCCCTCACCACACCTCCACCCTCCCGTCATCCCCTACGCTATCTCCGTCCGTTCCGATATCCACCTTCGGACCTGACTACTCTTCCTTACCTGTCCCCTCTCTCATTCCTCCACCACCCTTCCGCCAAGTTACGACCATCCACCGCTGTTCCGTACTTCACACTCGGACACCGTTCGTACCTTACTCCGAGCCTCCGTCATAGTCCATACCTCGGACTTTGACTCCACCTCGGTCTTAGTCCATTGCATTGGTGACCTCATACTACGTGAACACCATTGCCAATATTCCTCGGACTTCCAACCCCGCCTCCGTAACCTCCGTAAGCTCCGCAACCCCCGAGCTTCGCGGACCGCCTCCGGCACTCTCGCCGTTTGTAATGTATTTCTCGCAATTCCCCCTCATCCCTATTTGGACTACTGCTTCTTTCTATTCTAGCCAGTTAGTCATCACCCCCACTTCCCCTCATCCTCCTGCCCCTCTGGGCCTCGCCCACTCTACCTCCTTTCGGATGTATCACAGGTCTTGCCCTATGACCTTCGGTACCGCTCCGCTCCCTCTAACCCTTTGTTCCCGTTCGGACGTCTTCGTTCCGATTCGGTCACCCTTTGTTTCTCCTTGTGCTTTTGCCCCTTCCTTATATATCAGCACTTGTACATACTCGTCTGTTTTCAGTCCGAAATCGACCTGAAATGCCCCCAAGAGACTTCCTGCTCACCTACTGTGAAATTAAGGACCAAATGGACAAACAGCAATGGCACAGCGCTCCGCTTGAGTCGCTGAGGCCAAGGTCCCTCCACGCTAAGTCTCCGATTCCGCTCCGGAGTCGTCCGTTTCCGCCCATCTCTAACACTGTTGGAGAATATAATATGTTCCCAATAGTATAGAGTTTAACAGCCTATACCGGCATGGCTCAAGGGCGAGTAGTGTATGGATGCACGCTAGAGGTCCTGGGTTCGATACCAGGCTTGTCCATGATTTTATGTCCTTGCCATGTGACCTGAATTTGAAGCCATTTGAATTGGAGCTCCGGATAAGTCCAGTAGTCGCACCGGATACAATTTCGACAGTCTCTAGTACCAGGAGGGGAACATGGTACTTGCATGTGCAAAGGTGGGTAAAACAGATTAGGTGGAGGGTGCTGAAGTTTAAAGGCATGCCAGATATCAATCAAACTAATTTGTGGTGGGAGTGGCATGGTACTGGCATAATAGTATCGATTTAGACCATATCTGAGGCCCATGTCACAATCATACATGAAAAATTGAAGCATTGCTGATGCAAGGTCTGGGGCAGAGAACTTGGATGATGCTGCATCAACCGCCATCCTGACAGATTGTGGATATTTTGAGACAGTGATCAGTCCCACATTGGCATCCATGCATGGAGGTGAGAGCCCTTTAGTAGCTTGATCAATCTGAGACCGATTAATCCCTTTAGCTTCCAGAATTGACGAGTAAATGGAGAGGGAATCAACACATTGAAGCTGATCAAGAATCTGGGTGGTGTATGCTCTCCAATTTGTCACATGGTAAGTGACTTTGCAAGTGGGAATATGCAATGCCTCGATTATCTCTGATGAACCATTGTCCATAGTTCCATGATCATGTATGTCATTGGCAAAATGATGGAGGTTGTGGTGCTTGGGGATTTGGAAATGGTGAATTGGTGTGCCCTTCCCATTACAGCATGCACCATTGTCAATGAAAACTCTAACACTTGAATAGTAAAGTGTCAAATCATCGATCATCGATTGCAAACTGAGGTCTGAGTGTGCCAGCAACTGCGCTTTGTATGGGAAGTCAAGCAGAGAGTGTGTTGCCTGCATCATACGTGAGCTTTCATTCACTGTCCCTTTCTGATAAGCACCTGCAACCACAACAGCCAGATGGCACTGGAGGTCATGGTTTTCATGGCCAGACCATTGTGAAATCTTTGATATTCCATTATGGAATGTGCATTGGCCCTTTCAGTAAGGCTGGGCAATGAATTGGGCATCAAGTGCATCCTCTCCGATTGTATTCTTGATCCATGTCTTCGTGTGGTCACTGATATATTTGTGCAGCCCATGGAGTAAATCAAGACACAGAACCCGGAAAATGTCTACGGAAAGCCCTTCCCAGCATAGGTTCTCCACTCCAAGTAATCCTAGCTCCCTCGCTTTTACTGAAAATTGCCAAGTCGTTGCCTTGGGGTACTTCTTCCTAAGTTCGTGCTGTGCCCTCAGAATATCCTTGCCTGTTCACATCTTGCATGTCCAGCTGCCCCCAAGGTCCTTGTACTTGGCAACACACTTCGGGCACTCATTTCGTTGAAGGAGGTCTAGGACTTCCTCCAAGTCAGCAATCCAGGCCATGAGGGTCAAGACACACATTCGTACCATTCCCTGTGCATCAAGCAAGGGGATTGGAACGATTGGCTGCTTGGATCCTGCGAAGTTGTGGAGTGGCTTAAGGATTATGCAGAGACACTTGTGGTAAAGTATTTTCCGCAGGAGACCAGGCATTCCCTTGGCCTCATCAGCTAAGTGACTTCCATGAAACTCCTGTGATGAGAACTTGCTGATTGGCAAGTTTGCTAATAGGATCCAGGCCCATTTGCTGGGCTTATTTCACACCAACTTATGGATGTTCCCCAAAGAGAGATAAATTGGGTGCATTTTTTTGTTGCCAGAAAAGTTTGTCAGGTGAGTTTTGTCAGAGCCAAGCACAATTGCCAGTATGTCAGGGACTGCATGTCAGTTCACAACGATAAGGGTGTTCCCAAGAATCCTAGTCGTTGTTAACGCTGAGGTGCCACCCTCAGCGGAGATATGAGTTATATACATGGGTACCGCTACCCACTAGAGTGCGGCTACAACAAGATAAGAGATAACTGATAGAATGATGACATGAAAAGATAACTATTCATTTGGATAATCGTAAGTGAGGTGTGGGAAAGGGGTGACATGTGGACAGAAGATAGAAGCGGGATGCTAAGCGAGAGCTAAGCGAGATTACCTGCGTTCTTCGGATCTCTCCGGATCATCTTATGGCAACTCCCTTCCGGCATAGGGAGTCAGGGTAGCCAGTTAGGCCATTCCCTGACACAGTATGGTCGAGTTGCCTAACCCCTTTTCTTCTAGTTTGCACTGTGATTTAAGATTCATTATGGTATGTCACAAAGTTAAGTTTTGTGTAAGCATCATACCTGTTCCTCATTCCAAATCCAACCAGAACTCAGCTCTGCATACACACGATTTGTTGACGGCGATCCATCCTCATTTGTCGCAAATAGTTCTTCTGGTTCATAATCCATTTCCTCCCAGTAGTCTGGATTGCTGAAGAGGAGGGCTGCGCATGCGACTATATCCCTGAAGTAGAGTTCATGAAGCTCATCGGGAGCATCTTTCAACATGATCGTTGCATGTTGGAAGAGGGGTCCTTTGGGAAGCAAGCCATGAATGACTGCGTACACCTCTTTTGCTGAAGAGAAGGACAGACCAAGGTGGCATGTCTAGTTGGTGAGTAGTTCTGAGTGCTACTATGATATTTTCAGGTGATAGGCATGCTCACATAATCGAGTTGTAGAAATTTGTTTATTTCCAATTGGGACAACTCACTCTTACACAACCATTCCACCAGCTCCCACTCCTCCTTTGACTTCCATGGGGAATAGGCTGCACCCAAGTTGCCAAACTGGGACCTTGAACCCCATGGAGATGCTGCCTTTTGAGCCCCTGTTGCAGGCTTAACCCTTGTTTGGCTTTCCTGTCTAAATACAACAAAAGAATTCACTGCGCTCTGCATGCCACTTAGCCGATGGAAGCTGGGATTTGGTGAGTCGACAGGCACTCCATCCTCACCCTTATCTGAGTCATCCCCAATATCATTTAGGCTTGGAGAACTTGAAGCATTGGAGGCAGTGATTCCGGCTTCGTCTTCCAAATCATCAAGCATACAACTTGAAGGATCATATACCAGTGTTGGTCCAACATCTGAGACTTCGTATACTGTGGTATAACGACCATAGGTTCATTCCCACGGTTTTTGGGGATTGCCGGGTCCTACTGGCATAGTTCATCCTTGGGTGTGACATGCGACAATCATGCTGCGAAGTTCACTGTCTATCACTTGTACTCTTCTTAGCACCACATCCCCGAGTATGACCAGAATGGAAAATCATCCTTTGATAGATACAGTAAGCCAGAAATTCCCTAACCTTGTGATTTCGAGGATGTTCTGCCATTGTTTATTGGGACACTCCTGCCTGACCTTCGACTCCCTTTGACAACATTCCTCGATTTTCACCTTCCACCATTGCTGCCCAAGAATGTCCTGATTCACATTGCATACAACCCCTATCCCCCCACTGTCACTCCACTTAGTCTTGATGCCATCAAGTCTGTACCATGGCCTCCACTGCACTCTGCCAGGCAGTTTCTCACTCTGAGCCCTCCATCTGGTAGCCAGTCTGTGTCTATTGGCAATGCCACATATCCACTGGAGGTAGCTTCAATCTTGAAATTTGTACTATTGGTGCGGGATCTCCAGGATGTGTGGCATGCTGCCATTGAGTGGCTAACTGATGGTCCGCGTCAAGAGGCTTTACCGCATGACTTGGAGGAAATTTTTTACTCGTTGCTCGGGATGACAATATGGTCTGAGCATGTGCAAGGCTTTAGGGACACACTTGGGGTTAGCTCCTTGGTCCGAATTGCATCGCATGAGTGTCTGAATGACACTGATCATGAACGATACTGTATGATTCTTCATAAAGAACTTGAAATTGCCCAGGCTCCCATCCAAGTTGCACCACCAATTTTTTTCGACCGAGTATGCGAATTTTTTGGCAAAGAGAGCCTACCTCCTAGAGTGTATGGCTCTCGGTCTTATCGTTTCATGCAAGAGTGGGCAGCACAGTTAGCAGATGGGAAATTGAAGATGCTTGCTGGGATCGCATTTGTTAATCAAAATCACTGGATTGCTATCGTTATTGAAGGCACATCGAGGACCATCCGAGTCGGAGACTCACTGTTTAGTCCGACGATGTCCCAACAAATCCCTGTCTATGTGACTTCACTAGTCAATGCACTTTCTCGATGGCTTGCCCATCCTCCCTTTGCAATGCAACCCATCAAGACTGTTCCACTCCCCACTGTGCGACAGGATGATCATTTCCCATGTGGTCTTTATGCACAAAATACACTTGACAGTGTTTTTCGGCCTTGAACATCTGGAGTCAAGTGTCTACCAAGTTCGCAATTTCGCCTTCGGCTATTTTCTTTCATGCAAGTCCTGAACCATCACTTGATTAACGTGAGCATTCTGTCGATTCCAATTGTTCTTGCATTTAATGTAACTACTGTCTAGACTGGTCCATCAATTGATGGTGTGGTTGAATGGATATTATCACTGTTAATACCTGTTGATCCTCCACCTGCATCCCATGTGCTGCAAGATTCACCTGCACGAAACTCTCCTTCCCTGTCCCATGCGTTGCAAGCTCCACCCACACCCAACTACTCTCCTCCTTCCCCATCCCCTGTGCCACGAGTTTTGCCAGCATGCTACTCTCCTCTTGCCCCAATACCATTCCCACCACCTGTGAATCCCGAGGACGCTGTCCCAAAAATCGAGGCAACAGTGTCAAAGCTAGATCCAGGAGCAGTAGGAGGCGAGGGGATACTCAAGTTTTTCTCTCGAATTACCCAAGAGGCAAAGGCCGTTGAGATAAAGCAACAATTTGAAGTGTTACATGAATCATCTGCATCATGGGCTGAGGCTGCAAAGTTGAGGGCAGCAACAGTTGTAGCTAGTCGAAGGGAATACAACCGGTTGCGACAAGCTAATTTACGTGCTAGTCGGAAGAGAACTCTCACCGATGTGCCAAAAAATGGTGATAAAAAGGTGTGCTGCCCCAGCCGACTGTTCTTTTCTCTTTTTCTCACTAAAGTTATCATGAACAGTGCCAGATCGACACTCCAGATATCATGACAAGCTCACAAAGCCTATTTCAAAGTGCTGGTCCACTGAATGTGGCTCAAGTGTCACGTCCTAAGCGTGGACTTATGATCAAGGAACGTGAGACAAGTAAGATGAAAGGCCCTCACCAATCTGGACGGCGACAGACAAAGGAGATCAAAGAAGCTGTTTGGACATATTGGTGGGCCCCCACTTTCTTTCTACTTCTAACAGAGGCAGCAGAGAAAGTTTGTTGGGTGGGCCCAACCAAGATTGTACAGCAGGCACAATGCACATCACCTTCGCTATTCAAGAAGCTCACATCTCAAGTGATTGGGAGACATATTGTCAAAGGGAAAGGGTGGAATGATGATGCCTTAAGGAAGGAGAGTCTCCTGGGGGGAAAACAACTCAGCGAGGAATTTTGGTATGTAACTATAGAAATATATAGGGTTATGGCAGCTCCAGGGCCAGGGTCGGACAAGATGACAGTAGACCGCTAAGGTATATTTCGGAGTAAATAATTGTAAATACATGATTCCGTGCTTGATCTCCAACAGTAACATGTGCTGGGTGTTCCGTCAGTTCTCTCATACCAGGTTCTTCTCTCTTCAGGATGGTCACCCTGAGATAACTGCTGAGATTACTCAGAAACTTAAGTGCTTGCGACAGATAGGTGCTGCAATATCTCTCAGTGATGCGTGCTGTCTGATAATTGCAACAATTCAGTTCTACAATCCTTCTATATTCGAGAAGAAGTTCAAGGATGGAAGCGTCTTTTGTGCAACTGAGGGATGGGTCCTAAAGTTTCTCCATAATGTTATGGGTTGGAGCTACCGCAGGCCCACCCGGGCTCCACAGAAGGTACCACACGATGCTGAAGTGCTTATATGTACCTCCCTGCTTCACCAAGCATGGTCGATTCACTCATACAATGTACCTGCCGAACTCCATGTCAATTCTGACCAGACGCAAGTCATCTACTCCGACCCAAAGACATCAACATGGGATCAAATTGGTGCAGAGCAAGTGCCAGTTTTTGGAAAGGAGGAGAAGCACACAATCACAGTGACTGTTGCAATCTCCGCAAATGGAGTTATGTTGCCACTTCAGGCAGTTTTCCGTGGTCACTCATCCAAATCACTCCCCCCTCCATCATCTCCCTTCTATGATGAAGCCCTGGAATTGGGGTTTCGCTTCGTTGTCTCTAATACAGACACATACTGGGCAACCACCAAAACAATGAAGAAATATGTTGAGGATATCTTGGTCCCATACTTTATGGGACAGAAGAGGAAACTCGCGCTCTCAGATGACTATCGTTGTATCTGGCAAATTGATGTGTGGGCTGTCCACACATCTCAGGAATTTCGGGAATGGCTTTATGGCCGATTTCATTGGATCATCCTCGATTACGTTCCAGGCGGCTGCACAGGCCTCTTTCAGCCTTGTGACCTTGTTATTCAACGGACATTCAAGCTCGCCATCAATCGAGAACACCGCCGTGATACGATTAATGACATCCTCAAGCAGCTAGAAGAGAACCAAAATGTTGTTACAGTTGAAAAAGGGCTCCCAGAACTACGATGGCGGATGGTTGGTATGCTTGTCAAGGCATTTCACAAAGTAAACAAACCCCACATTGTACTCAAGGTGCACAGCTCATAACTGAATTCTCCCATGCTCATACTTATTCTTCCTCTCAGGCCTTTGAGAAAGCATGATCAGGCAAATTCAGTCTAGCGCATTCAAGTCTCACTAGCCCAGGGATGCTGGACATCCTGAGGACCCTCCATATCAACAATCCACCACTCTTTTTGGAGTTTTCCAAACCGTGCTCAGTCCCCAAAGTACCACTGAACCGCACTCAACGCACAGATGGCATACAATCAGATGAACCTCCATTTTCATCTGACAATAATGAACCATCCGATGTCCCCTTCAGCGCTGCACTTGCCCACGCTCTCACTGGGGAGATTCCTGAGGGCCATCTGCTTCAACCGGGCATGAAATCCATTCAGCCCCGACCTATGCTTGCGAATGAACTGGATAACGACTTTCCTGAGGAGGATGCCAATGATATGGGTTCTAATTTGTCGCTTGGTGATGGTTCAAGCAATGATGACTACAATGGCAGCTTGGTTTCTTGTAGTAGGGATTCAGTCCCTTTGGGGCCAGTGCGCCAAGGGGAGAGGATGAGGAGACCCATGGATTTAGTGGCACAAAATAGATGGTGGGATGGGTGGTAACGATGGCATTGGCTGGCCAAAATTTTTCTTGATATGCCTACATAATATAGTTGCAGATCCTTCTTCATTAGTTCAAATTTCCATTGCGACATGTGACAACACTATTTTTAGTTCAGTTCAAAACCTTCGTGCAACATGTGACTGAACTTATGGTTGTTATACCACAGTAATTGATGGTCCATAGGTTCATGGATGCTTGTCAGAGATGGGCCAGACCAGGACCACACTGGAGCCTCTTTGCCAAAAGGCTGACATTGACTGACCACTCAGTCAACTTGGATCCTGGTATTTATACAGGTGCTAAGATGCCACTTTTGCACTACTGTCAGAACCGTGGGAAGCTTCACCAATAGTAGCCATAGGCGACTGAGCGTTGGCCGCTAGTGATACAAGTGCCCTACTCACGACCGAGCTTTAGCGAGGATTAACCTCACCGATCTCGAGGTCGAGGCTATTTAGGCGAGCGGGCCGGGATTTCAGCTTCAACGACTCAAGGAGGAGCGTTGCGCCTCGTTCTCGATGCAGTCCCGATACTTCAGAAGGCAGAGGTCTTATGGGGAACAGATGCAAGCTTAGGGGAATGTTCTAGTTGATTTTGAACTACAGTACAAGCATTAGTTACAAGCTGTATATAAGCACTAGGGAACTGAATAGGGAATAAGTCGCCAGATCTCGTGGAGATTGCAGGTGGAGAAAAGGAGGAGGAAAACGAACAAGAAGCATGTGTTCAAGACAGCGAAGGTCAAACGTGACCTTCGCCGCGAGATAACAAGGTGTGGAAACATGGGACAAAAGGTCGCAGCGCTCTGCACTGCTAGGTCGTTCAACGACAATTAGGAGAGGGGTTGTGGAGAGGTGGCAGGAAGGGGTTAGACGATGATGGGCGGCAAGCGGAGTGTGCGGGGAGTGTTTGGGCATGGGAGAAGGTCGGGGAGGAGGTCGTCTGACCCTGGGGAACGCCAGGTCGTGACAGTAGTGCAAAAGTGGCATCTTAGCACCTGTATAAATACCAGGATCCAAGTTGACTGAGTGGTCAGTCAACGTCAGCCTTTTGGCAAAGAGGCTCCAGTGTGGTCCTGGTCTGGCCCATCTCTGACAATGCTGAGCACTGTATCGTCGTGTTTGGCTGTCAAGTTCATTGCTTGATTGGAGCCAGCATAGTGGGCCATTCCAGCCAATTTCCTTTGAAGACATCCTGCTGAAGCTGATATGTGACTTTGCAGTGCATGGTTGGTGGTGAATGTCCACCTTTCGATGCAGTAGTCACAAGAATACTCAATAGAGTCAGTGACTGGTTTCAGGCTGGAAGATGCCTTGCCACAGTGGCACTTAGCTGAGTGCATCGGAATGGGTCCTGGGAACAGAGGTGGTATGTGGCCCAAATTTTAATTTTTTTTCAGCATGTGGCGGAACTTTTTTTTCATCACATGTATATAAGCTTTTTTTTTTTCACATCAGTTCCTCCCCTTTACTTTGCCCTGACTCCTTTCTACTAGCACCTGGTATTGGCAATGCCACCAAGGGCCAACCAGGCTCAGTGACAGAGACATCTACGAACAGCTTCCCTTGACAACAGTTCCAACAGCAACCCCCCATTCCAATTCAGTAACACCACAGTTGCTGCTGCTGCTGCTGCTGGCAAGTGACATCGACACCCCACTCTTGCGCACTTGAGACTATTGCCAATGATAAAACCGAGTTTTCAGCTTCACAGTTCAGCTTCATTCACAAGAACCACTTGATTGACATTGAGGAGTTCTCGGTTAAGAAATCAAAAAGGTGGGCATGTATCTGTACCAAGCTGTTTTGGAAGATGGCATGAGTTAGGACTTATTTGCTATATTTGAGAACTCATGAAAATTATTCCAATAGGCATGTGTTGGACAAAGAGCACCTGTACAAGGAGAAAAATGGTATCATTATTGCTGCTGCAGATAAGCCATGTGGGAACATTGGCAGATGGAGCGATTCTGACTAGTAGAACATGTTTTGAAAGTTCGCAATATATAATTGGATTTGCTTGTATAACAACCCAGAAATGGACAGAAACTGGGACGGAATGGGAGTGGGTTGAGCGCTATGCCCAGTTACCACAAGAGAATGGGAGCCTGGGGAGCACTATACCAAGATCTCACAGGAGCCATGAGAGACCAGGGCTCTCAGAGCTAGGGGAGCTCTTGCTCCTGCCGCTCCGAGAGGGGGCAAGGACCTCCTGAACTCTCATGCCTCCCTGTGCTCCCTTAGCTCCAGGAGAACGCTCCGAGTTTGCTGATGTGGCTATACTGAAGCCAGCTGGTTTTGAAACCACATGCAAGCTGCTATCAGACTGAACAACTGAGCCCCCTGGTTGGCCAAACACATTCCTCACTCAGTGTATTGTCCACCATGTTCACATGGTCTTTTAGGGAAACCTAAAAGTTGGACATACTGTACCCGCACGACCAATTACCGGCTGAGGACAAAATAGTCAACCGGCTTCTCCTTGTGATGCATGACAAGCAACCGGAAGAGGTGGCAAGGTTGGTGTGACACCAGCCACAGTGGCGCTGGAAATGTCCAACTGGCAAATTTTCGTGTTGATACATTTTACACCAAAAAAACTACTTCCTTGGAGACGGCTTTTGTTTTCATTGAATTTAATCCGATTTCACACAGCCACTTAGGTGCCAAAAAAAAATGGTGTGACAAGGATCATTCAACCGGAACATCAGTGTGATGCATGACAACAGCCCACTTACAGCCGGACCGGAAGGTGCATGTGATGCATGACCAGTAATTGGTTGTGCGGGTACAGTACTGGGAGTTGAACTCCAGCCCTCTGGATTGTGAACTTAATTGTGCACAGCCACACCATACACCCTTGTTAGGCTGTGTCAGGGCACACCCGCCTGACCCGGCCCCACCTAACCCGGTGCCCCACCATCCACTCTTCCTGACCTCCCCCCTCTTCCCCTTTTTCCCTTCCCTTCCTCCTTCCCCTTCTTTTCTATTCCCTTTCCCCTTTATTCCTTTCTTATCACACGGATGACTTCCTTTGTATCAATGTACCACTGACCCGGCTGCAGTGTAACGCGCCCGAACCCGGACACACTGGATGACCCCCCGCATACTGGACGCTCCTAGGGCCTCTTACGGAGGTACCCGGACGGAGGTGGCTGTGTGCTTGGGTGACGTGGCGCTTCCCACGTGGCCCTTAACCACATGTATATAAACATAGCCTAAGTGGGAACTGAGAAGCAACCTTCTTCTCACAT